TGTCTATTTTGGCTCTTGTTGCCATTGCTTTTGATGTTTTAGTCATGAAGTATTTGACCATGCCTATGTCCTGAATGGTATTGCCTAGGTTTTCTTCTAGGGTTTTTATTGTGTTAGGTCTTACATTTAAGTCTTTAATCCATCTTGAGTTAATTTTTGTATATGGTGTAAGGAAGGGATCAACAATTCTCTTATCAAAAAATCTTCCTCTCCTAGCCATGCCAAATAACTGAGCACTCTGTGAGCCATCCAGCTGTCAGCTAGCTAAGTAGCATTTTCACCCACTAATATTAGTCTTAAAAAAGCAAGAATCAAAAGAGAAGTCAAGGAATATCATAAAATATCTGTGATCACAATGGTAAACATCAAAATTTTCACCAACATTATCTGTGATCACAATGGTAAACAACAAAAATTTCACCGTTATCAATGAGAACAGTTCTTTACATTAGCATTCTATTCATCTGTGAGAAAAAACAAAAACAAAACAAAACCAAAAAAAACCTTTTTGATATCTGAAGGTCCTCAGAACCCTTTGAGAATTAAAGAGACTTCAACTGCCAGCAAATTCTACATTGGGCATATTCTTTAAGACATTGCTGATCTCACAGGAGGTGGAGAAAACTCTCCAAAACAACATCAATGAAACAAAATGAAACAAATAAACCCTCAGTTCGAAACTATGAGCTGCAGGCACACTTAGCAGGTCAGGGTTTTCCCCATGGTAGATGCCCAGAGAGGTACAGGAGTGATCGTTGCCCCAAAGGCGGATGCCTGTAGTAGTTTTCTGAGCAATCAGTGAGAAGGAGCTGAGTGTAAGGCTTCTGAATTAAGCCAGGATTCTCAAGAGTGTCTGAAATAGTCGTAAGTCAGCAGTACTGCTGGCTACTGAATTCCTAGTTAAGACCTTGTAGGAGTCCCCCAGTTTAAGGTCAAGAAGTGTGTTCCAAATACTATCAGCAAGCATGTGAGAAGCTAATCATCTTGAATGACATTCATCAAAAACAAGAAAACTGATACAGACTCCCTGCTCTTCCCCTTCCCGGGGGAAGCAGAAATTGGGATTGCCTGATACAGAATATAAAGCAGCTATTATGGATTATTTAAAGGAAGAGGGCATAGGCTTGCAACAATAAACTATTAGGAATAACCAGGATGATTTGAAAACCAAGTGGAAAAAAAAAAAGTAAACCTTCTAAAAGTTAAAAGTATAATTACTGAAATAAAAGTTCAATGGAAGGATTAGATAGCTTACTGTACATAGCAGAAGAAAAACCTGAAACTGAAAGAGATATGCAAAGAAATTGCCAAGAATGAAACCAACAGTGTCTTAAAGAATATGTCTTGTCCAGGATCTTTTGGAATGTGAAGGCTCTTAGTTCTTGAAGGATTCATAGGATCTTTGAATATTAAAGAGGTATGTCTTCTTCACTGATCAGTGGAAGAGTAAAGTGTAGAACTATTCTCACTAGTGAATTTTAGTGAGAAATGTTTGTTTTTACTTTTGCCAGTATAATTATATATTTTCATGTTATTTTGCTTCTGTTCTGATTTTTACTTTGGCAATCAATATTAGTGAGTAAGTAGTGAGAAGAAAATGGAAAATAAAAAAGAGGTGTGCGGAAATGTGAAGGCTAGAATAAGAAAGTCTACTACTTATCTCACTGGAGTCCAGTACTGATAACAGGTGAAGCCGTAATGCAGAAACAACATGTCCAAGAAGATAAATGAAAAGAAATTCATGGCCAAACACGCTGCAGTAAAACTGCCGAATACTAAAGACAAATAGAGAGTATAAAAGCAATCAAAGAGAAAAGGTAGATCATCTTAGAAGTAAATTGACAAGAGACTTCTCAACAGCAAAATGGAAGCAGAAGGATAATAGAATTGAAAGTGTTAAGAGTGAATAACTGAGTACTCAGTAATCTCTCAAGAATGAGAGTGAGCCAGGCGTAGTGGCACACGTCTGTAATCTCAGGCCTTTGGGAGTCCAAGGTGAGTGGATCACTTGAGACCAGGAGTTCAAGACCAGCCTGGCCAACTTGGTGAAACCCCATCTCTACTAAAAATACCAAAAAAAAAAAAAATTAGCCAGGTTTGGTGGTGCATGCCTGTAATCTCAGCTATCGAGAAGGCTGAGGCCCAAGAATCGCTTGAACCCAGGAGGCGGAGGTTGCAGTGAGCCGAGATAGCACCACTGCACTCCAGCCTGAGCAGCAGAGTGAGACTCTGTCTCAAAACAAAAAACAAAACAAAAAAAAGAATGAGAGTGAAATGAAATATCTATTGGTTAAGAAAACAAAAATACTGAAAAAGTACATTTCAAGGATGGTAAGCCAAACAGAGGAGAAGATATTTGAACATCTGTAACAGACAACAGATTAATATCTAGCATATTTTTTAAAAGTCTAAAATTCAATTTTAAGGAAAAGACAATTAGAAATTGGGAAGTGAAAAGCCAGGGACATACAAATCAAGATTTACATTCAATTTTATACATTTTAGATTGTCAAAATTAAGAAGTCTGACAACACCAAATGTGGAAGAGACTAGAACTTTCATAAAACGCTTGTGGGGAGTGTAAATTGATAGACACTTTGGAAAACAATTTGGCATTATCTTGTAAAATGTAATATTCACACATTGTACAACCCAGAAATGCTACTTAAAAATATTTACAGGAATATTTAGAGAAACTCTTCTCACAATAGCAAAAAATTGACATTTCAGACATTCATCTGCATGCAAATAGGCTAATAAATTATAGTATAGTCATACAATGGAATACTATATAATTATGAAAATGAGCAAATCATAGTCTTTCACTAAAAAGAACGTAAATTTTAGAAACCTCATACTAAATTTTAATAGCGTCCCAAAAACTACATATAGTATAATACCATTTAGTAAAGCCTCAAAACAAGCAAAATTAAATAGTATATTATTTCATTTTACATAGTAGGTGATAAAATTGTATTTTCTTCCTTTTTTTATTTTTTTTTTTTTTTTTTTTTTGAGACAGTGTCTCACTCTGTCACCGAGACTGGAGTGCAGTGGTGTGATCATAGCTTGGCTTACTGCAGTTTGACCTCCTGGGCTCAGGTGATCCTTCCATCTCAGCCACCAGAGTAGTGGCTGGGACTACAGGTGCATGCCACCACACCTGCCTAATTTTTGTGTGTGTTTTTTTTAATAGAGACAGGGTTTCACCTTGTTGCCCAAGCTAGTCTCGAACTCCTGGACTCAAGCAATCCATCTGCCTCAGTCTGTCAAAGTGTTGGAATTACAGGCGTGAGCACCACACCCAGCCTATATTTTCTTAAAGATCAAGGAAATGACAAACCCAAATTGAGAATAATGGTTACTTTGTCAAGCCTATTGCCTTTGTAACATCTCAGTCATAATTTGGAGTCACAAACCACCAGAGGTAGAAGTGCTTTCTCATTTTACAGTTGAAAAAGGTGAGGCCCAGAAAGGAAGTTATGTGACATCTATATTAATTCCACAAATTTTAATTTAGCACTATCATAGGCATTTGGATTCCATCCAGGGGTAGAAGAGGCTATTCCTGCCCCTGAGGAGCTTATAATTTTAATTGAGCAGTGAGGGAGGGAACAAAATAAACACTTAAACAGTAATAAGTAAATTCTTTGGTGTGTTAGAAAGTCATAAGTGCTATTGGAAAGAAGAAAAACTGGAGCAGAGTCAAGAGGATCAAGAGTTCCAGAAGAGAGGTGGGGCAGGGACAGGCCACAGTATTAAATAAGTTGGCTTAGCCCCATTGAGAGGTGAGACGCAAAACTTGAAGGCGATGAAGGAAACAGGCAAGTGTGTATTTAGAGAAAGCTTTCTTCTTGAGGAAAGAAATAAGTCAAGAGTGATTTCAAGGATTTGGGCTTGAGAATCTGGGAGGATGGCGTTGCATCTGCCGAGATGGAGAAAGTCGCAAGTGAAGTGAGTTTGTAGGGGAGGGTCAGGACTTCAATTTGGACAGGCTGGCTTAGAGATGGCTATTAGTTATTTAAGTGAAGCTGTCAAGTAATCAGAACATCCAGAGTTCAAAATGGAAATTTGGAGAAAGTCAAAATGCATGTCAATGATCGCAGCAATACTAATGCAGTGCTTTTTGCACCAAACAGGGCCAGATACATTTGAAAGAATTAGCAATTAAATTTTATGGAGATGAACACAATAGAAATGAATAGGAATATGATGAACCCAAAAAATGGAGTCAGAAAACATGTCCAATTCGATTTTTTTCAGCTCTTTCCAAAAGATGTAAATACAGCAGAATATTCAGTTGGCCTCAAATTGACGTATTTGCCATTTTGAGATAGCAGTCGATTTTGTGAGGATTTATCTGATTACTTCTCATGTTATTTGCCATAGTCTCTTTCTGTCTGTAAGCCACAACAATGATGGGGCACACTTTCAGCAGCATGAATAAGTGAAACAAATTCTGCAGGAAATTATGCAACATAGAGAATTCCAAAAAAATTATCCACATGTGGATTTTTATTGGCCCTGATCAGATTTTAGAATGAAATGATTATAACTTTGCCAGGCTGCTTAGCACAATTACAAAGGCTGGGGCATGCTGTTGGAATGATTTGCAGAGAGTCTGAACTGATTACATGGTGTTTTATTTGCATTACATTAAATCCAGAGCACTTCTTAGAGCATGCTGAAAACCAAATGTGGAGCCAAGATCCAGTGAAAGCCGCAGCTGGATGTGATCAGTGTCTAAGAGCTAAAAAAGGGACATGGAGATCCTCTGGTTCTTTATTTTACAGCAAAGAAAATTTAGTTCCAGAGAGGTTAAGTGACTTGTCTAAAGTCACCAGTGACAGAACCGTGTCAAGAACCTGCTTTTTCTGATTCCCAGGCCAGTAAACCTTTTGCCGTAGGTTGCTGCTTCCATGTGTCACAAAGACTTAAAATTTGCTTCTTTTTTTATATATAATATATATACATATATATATATATATATCCCTTTGCAGGGTTTCTTCCGGAGAACAATCAGATTGAAGCTTATCTATGACAGATGTGATCTTAACTGTCGGATCCACAAAAAAAGTAGAAATAAATGTCAGTACTGTCGGTTTCAGAAATGCCTTGCAGTGGGGATGTCTCATAATGGTGAGTAAACAGCCATCACCATATACTTTATTATTCTCATTATAGCTGCCAGACCAGTGGACACTAAGGCCATTGCCAAAAATGTGTACAGGTTTTCCACCAAATGCCAGAATTTAGAATATTGCATGTCGATAAAACATTTCTCATTTAGGTCAGTGTTTTTAACATTTCATTATAGAACCCTTCTCTCTCTGGTTGGGCATTTGCCATGAGGAGAGAAGAGACTTGAAAAATCTGGGGGATGATGGGAAAAACTTTAGTGTTTTAGAACAAATATAATGATCATCGTGATAAAATTTTATATTGCTTCATGCATTAAATAGAGAATTATATTTACTTGTGTGTATCAGTAGTGTCTTTCTACTTTAAACGTAAGAAAATCCTGAAGATGTCTGGGTCTGGAACTTTAAGTGGCATGTGAGAATTTAGATTTATTTAATTAATTAATTTTTTTTTTTGCTCTTTATTATGCAAAGACAAGTGTTCCTTTCCTTCACTTCAAGGAACATCCATGAGTTGTGGAAAGGGTAAAACAAATTATTTTTATAGTTCTGCAAAACTTTAATGCCATAGAAACGTAAGAGAATAAAACTTTCTACTTTTGAAACCTGTGTCTAAAGTCAAGCTTATGACTTTGGGTGTCAGCTTAAGGGAAATGATGTAGAAGACCTGAGAAAAGACCCCTGTTTTCATGATCTGTGGAACTAACTCAGTAAAGTCCTGGAAGACAAACATGTTTGAAAAAATGATTCTTGATCACTATTTAGTTCTCATTGGTTACCTGGCTGACAAAATAAATTTTAGGTATAACTTGGTAGTATTATATGTGTCAAGTATTAATCAGTTCTTTTCAATGCACTCAAGAAATAAAAAATGCCAACATGACCAAATTAAATTTGAAGTTTCATTTCATCAGCTATCCTATTTTTTCTTTCTTTTGTTTTCATCTCTCCCAAAACTGATCTAGTGAGAAGGCAGTTTTCATCTATATGCACTCTAAAGCATCTGAGAAAATTAAATTTTTGCTCTATCATGCAGATATTTGGTTTTCACAGTGGAAACCATCAAGATATTTGAGAGTCACTCATTGATTAATAACCTACCCTTTAAAAATAGTTCACAAAATTCTATCTGTATCATTACTATGGGTCAGTTCCTCTAAAGGCAAGAATGTATTTTGAATAGAGCTATCAACAGTACTGAACAGGATGGAAATTTGGTCCAACCTTCCTCAACAATTGACTACATCTGCTGTATACAACTGTAGTCATGGATTGCAAAATAATTTGCTGGTTCAGTTCCATCAGTTTCCTTTTTATTTCAGACCTCATAAAACATAAGGGCAAGTTTCCAAGTCAAGGGTTATATTTTAGGTGATGCAATCAAGTTGCAATAAACTTATTTCATCTTCATGAAGAAATCATTGACTTTGAGGTCATTATCACTGAGATAGCCTAGGAAAGCATGCCAGTTCCACTTTTAACACTATTTTTTGCCTATTAAAAAATTATCACTTCACACATTCATGTAAAATATAATTCCTGTTACTTATAGGCAGTGCATACATTTATGTAAAATATATTTCCTGTTGCTTACAGGCATTGCATACGTTTACTTAAAATCAATCTCCAATTGCTTATTGCTTATAGGCAAATATTATTTAAACCCCAACCTATGCAGTATGAATGGTATGATTTTCTCCTCCCCTAAAAGTCAAAGAAAGCTATCATAAACTTGATAGGTCATCTTTTGACTTCATATGACAATTTATTTTATCTCTAGAGGGGGTCAATCTTGATAGGGAGTGTTCGTTCAGTTCTAGCAAAAGCAAGAAAATATAGGAATTAAGTGTCACGACATCAGAGACTTAGGCAGTTCAACACTTAAAAAATTGCAAACATTACTAAAAAAACCTCAGAGGTTTTTATGGGAGTTTGTTTGCCACACAGAAAAGAAAACATCAGACTAACAACAAGGTTTTGATTAGTTTTGCCTGTTAGCTGCATGAAGAAAACATTTCTAAATACAAAGTTTTCTAGGAAGTTGAGTCACTATTTAAAATCCATTGCTTTGACCAATGTGAAGCCAACAGAGTTTTTGTTCATATAGAATGCCTTTTTATCGAAAGAGGCTCTGAGTGTTATACCAAAGTCAGCACCCAGCTGTTTTCAGTATGTGCAAGAAAACATGGACGTCCCCCAAAGCAAATGTACTCCATTCTGTGTTAACCTTATTTCTGCTCTCTGGTCTCTGATTAGTCTGGTTGATGAATGTAGCTTCCCCTTTGGCCATGCACTCACAGCTTTGAAGGAGGTTTCTGAAGGAACCAGTAGGGAACCCTAGGGGCTCTTGCTAATGTTATTGGATAGGCACTGAAATCAGTGATCACTATGTCCTTTCACTTTGAAAATTCTGTGATTCTGTATAATCAAACAACCTAACTCACTGGATTTTTCACTTTTCAACCAGCTATTCTGTGTCTTACAATGCTCCGGTCTTCACAAATATGTAGGCACCTGGCATGTCAATTGCCTGAATTTAAAAGTTTTCACCTATATGTTTTGGTACCATAAAATAAAAATATAATTTATGTATCTGAGTCAGGTCTACATATTGTGATCAATTGCTCAGCAATTTCGGGCAGTTGGTTTGATGATTAGTGATGTAGCCCGAGAGCAGAAATCCAGAGCCTCTGGGCTAGAGAAAGTATAAATGGCATCCTGGGTTATGTAGCATTACAGCTCTTCAGAGGGAACTTTCATTTTCATTGTGACATATCGCCTACACGTTGTAGAAGAACATAGTTTCAGAATTCTTCCAGTTAGAAACATAACTTCTCAAATATTCACTTTCAGCATGGGGTAGGAAAAGTACCCAGCTGATGGACTGATTGATATGCTTCAGAAACGTATTTTTTTCCTGCAAGTAACGAAAATAAACACACGTTCTTAATTATTTTGGTCATTTAACAACCCATCATTTCTAGACCATGGGTTAATTCCACCGATTGCTCAGAAGCCTTCCTGAGTCATCTCAAGCACAATCAATTCACTACTGTGTCTAGACACTGCCCTTAGAGGAAAGCTCAAAATGAAAATGAAGCAGAAATACAGACCTGCTTCCTAGGCCACTCAGTGGTGCATGTAACTTACTAAGTGATCATTGCATCAACTACTGTTTGTTAGTGAAGCTGGTGTCTGCAGAATCTTGATAAAAAGACGCATGGATAATGTTGCTTCTTTAGTCAGATGGGCTCTTGCATGCATTTTTATAGTTTTTCAAAGTAGTCATTTTTGTTTTAAAATCTTGCTGGCAAGTCCTTTATAGTAATCACATTTTAAAAATATGTCTTCTTTATTTTTATTTGATTATTATTATTATTATTTTTGAGACAGAGTCTCGCTTTGTCACCCAGTCTGGAGTATAATGGTATGATCTCAACTCACTGCAACCTCTGCCTCCCGGGTTCAAGCAATTCTCCTGCCTCAGCCTCCCAAGTAGTTGGGACTACAGGTGCCCGCAACCACGCCTAGCAAATTTTTGTATTTTAGTAAAGATGGGGTTTCACCATGTTGGCCAGAATGGTCTCGAACTCCTGACCTCAGGTGATCCCACCTCAGCCTCCCAAATTGCTAGAATTAGGCGTGAGCCACCGACTGCGCTGGCCTTGTCCTCTTTATATTTAATAAAATTATTTAGTCATTAAGAATTTTGACTAGTGGGCCGGGCACAGTGTGACTCATGCCTGTAATCCCAGCACTTTGGGAGGTCGAGGTCAGAGGACCACTTGAGCTCAGGAGTTCGAGACCAGGCTGGGAAACATGGCAAGACCCCGTCTCTGCTAAAACTACAAAAAATTAGTCGGGCGTGATGGTGCGCGCCTGTGGTTTCAGCTACTCGGGAGTCTGGAGTGGAAAGATCGCTTTAGCCCAGGTGAAAGTTGCAGTGAGCCATGATCACACCACTGTACTCCAGCCTGGGTGACAGAGCAAGACCCTATCTCAAAAAAAAAATTTTGGCCGGGCGCGGTGGCTCAAGCCTGTAATCCCAGCACTTTGGGAGGCCGAGACGGGCGGATCACGAGGTCAGGAGATCGAGACCATCCTGGCTAACACAGTGAAACCCCGTCTCTACTAAAAATACAAAAACTTAGCCGGGCGAGGTGGCAGGCGCCTGTAGTCCCAGCTACTCGGGAGGCTGAGGCAGGAGAATGGCGTGAACCCAGGAGGCGGAGCTTGCAGTGAGCTGAGATCCGGCCAATGCACTCCAGCCTGGGTGACAGAGCGAGATTCCGTCTCAAAAAAAAAAAAAAAAAAAAAAATTTTTTTTTTGACTAGTGAATAATTCATATTCAGAGCTCTTTTTTTATGTATGAACTAAATAATAAAATAGTTTAGGCTAAGTGCACTTTTTATTTTTAAAATTTTATGTATTTATTATTACTATTTTTAGAGATGGAGTCTCACTATGTTGCTTAGGCTGGGCCCACCTCAGCATCTGGAGTTGCTGAAACTACAGGAAAGTGCTACTGCACCTGACCTATTTAAGAAAATAATCTAGAGAAGAATTGACATGTTGTTTATGAATCATTCAGTTAGGTTTTCTCTATAACATTGAGATTTGGTTAAAAATATGTTTTTCATAAATTTAAAAGCTAGTGAAATCTTAGCTTTGCTGACTAGGATGTCTTATGATATAAGTGAGAGAGAGTTTTTAATTTTTTTAAAAAAACTGACAACTTTCAAAATAATTTCTCAGTGGCTTCATAAAAATCCAGAAAAATGATTTCACAAATTTCTGTGACACTCACATTTTTAAGGTAGTTCTCTCAGTGCCTTGCAAACAGCAGCTCTAGTGTATATTGAGAAAAGGAAAAATTCTGAATGGCAAATAGATTTCAACTTTAACCTATTTCTTTTTTTTTTTTTTTTTTTTTTTTTGAGACAGAGTCTCTGACGCCCAGGCTTGAGTGCAGTGGCGCTATCTAGGCTCACTACAAG